TTGCTAGATGCATTCAATCATCCAATGAGCAAGTGGAATATAAAGCATTAAAGCATACAGGAGTTGCACAAACATAACTTCTGGATAATCTTTACATATTCATCACCTTTTACTAAAGAGCAAATGAGGAACTACTCAGTCTTCATGGCCTTGGCAAAACTAGAAAAGTGAGTGATACTCATCCCTCCAAGTAGAGGGGCTACTAAGTGAAGCAAACTAAACAAAGAGCTTATCTTCAATGAAGAATAAATGAATCACTTTCCACCCTTCACGGCTTTAGTAAAGTTCTAGAAAAGTGGAAGAGTTTTACTCTTCTAAAAAAGAAGGATGCTCAAGCAATGGAAGTGAAATACATGAACAATAAAAGTAGAAGGAAGGTTGTTACTTTTGGAGGGTTTCCACCACAACCAAAAGATAAGCTATCTCTCTTAATACTTGTAAATAAAAGCAAGTACAACTACAAGAGGAGTCTAAGCCTCCATCATGGTTGTCACAACATAAATGTAAAGACTTAACATAAATAAATGAAAGACTTCAACTACAAGGGGAGTCTAAGCCTCCACCATGGTTGATACTAAAATGAAACAAGCAATTTATACAAACAAACTTTCTAATTTACAAGAGAAGAAAAATTGCTAAGAAGAAAAACTCTCTATTTTACAAGGAAAAGGATGCCCTTTAAGCTCCCAACATGGGAGTATTTATAGGCAAGGAAGGGGAGTGGGTAGGAGATAAGAGGGGATGAGTGAATAGTATTTGCTGCCCATGGAAACCAACTACTCTATAGGCAGTCTGTAGAGAACGTTCGAACGTTTTTTTTCTATTTTACTTTAGGGGCGTTCAAACATTTTCTGACGTTCGAACGTTTCTTCTAGTCTTGCCTTATAAGCATTCGAACTCCAGATGGGGCCCGACCTTTTCCACTCAAGTAGTCTTCTGTCAAAGTTCATTTTCACACTCCATGCAGAAGTCTGTTCTTCAGTTGATTCCAAGGGACGTTTGAACGTTGAATGGCGTTCGAACGTGGTACTCAAGTGCTTCAGAGCTTCAAAGTCCTCCTTTGTTTGTTGCAACACTTCATGTCTCATCAGTCTGGCCTTCAATCAACTCAAGTGGACGTTCGAACGTTAGTTGGCGTTCGAACGTGGTACTCAAGTACCTCAGGGTCCTATGCTTGACTGCAACACACTGTCTCAGCAGGCTAGTATTATCATAGTTCAAATGGACGTTCGAATGTGATTTGGCATTCAAACGTTCATGCTTTGTTCCTAGCCTCTCCAATTTCACTCCCTAATGTGGCGGTGAGACATTCAAGCGTGACTTTTGTTGCCCTTGAGCCTTTGTTCACTTTAGAACCTGAAATATCCTTACTTGAACTCCATCAAAGTACAATTAGTCTTGGAAAGGCACAATAATATGCTACATTTAAGTACTAATCATGTGCTACAAATCACAAATGTGACAAATAAAATAATAAAGAACACAAGAGATTTATTGACGCAAATGCCCTACTCGAGAAAATTCACAGGGAACAGAACCGCTTGGGGTTCACCATAGCCTAATTTACTATCCCACAATCAATATACAAGTACTCGAGTCTTATACCTCAACCAATACCATGGTTACATGCTTTTTTCCTTATATTGATCTGTCCACCGGATACACCCACCGATGTTGTGGATGGCTTCATTTGAACTACCATCTGCATGGTTCGTTTAGGCCTCGAGCACTCCTAGGACACACCCATAATCTCGATATGCACATTTTCAAGGGGGTTTGGTAGACCAATAAAATTATTCTTCTCCAATGTGTGATGTTGGATAGGAATCACAAGATGGGTTTTAGCCTTTTGAATTTAGGGATCTAATGTTGCTCACAAGCTCTCAAGGGTGTTTGATATGCAGAAAATACTCTCAAGAGGCTTACACTAGCATAGGCATGACTCCCTCTATTTATAGGCTTAGAATAGAATTTGTCTTGGGAATCAAGAAAGCAGAAATTCAAGAACAACCGCTCAAGCAGTAGGAGAGCAGTGGGAGGGCCGTGGTTTCTGAAATAAAAAAGGAATTCAAACCAAGGTAGGAAATGAGGGATAGCTTGAGCGACCTCATAATCACTTGAGCTGTCTCAAGACAACTCGAGCGACCCAGAGGGACCTCTCCACTTGCCATGCATTCAATCTTTCCAAATTTTATCCTTAAGTGTTCAAAGATCGCTCTAGCGAAAGCTAGCGAACATAGGGCCCTATTTGTTTTTAATCTAGAAACCACGCAAATATTTGTCCCCTTGGGCACTAAAGGATGTTACTCAAGTGAGTTCTGATTAATGACTCAAGACTATATTTTCAAAACACATTTAAGATTTAAAAAACTTTTCTTCGAAAAATATATCGGAATCATTAACAGAACAATCACCGATTCCATTTTACCTAATCAACTTAAGTCTAATGAATTAAACCAAGGGTGCTAAAGTCTCTAGGTCATTTACATTTGTCCTAAGCAAGAAGATGCATACAGGGAGTCTCTGGATGTAACTTGAAACACAATATCTTCCCTTTTATTGACGTTTTTGGATCTTCAACGTTGTAACATCATGACCATAAAATATGTTGAGATTACAAAAAGAATTCACGAAATTAATCAATTACGAATATGATCCTAACAGATGTAATTGAAAAAATATTAGCAAGATTGATGCCATTATCTTAAAAATTGAATGAAGCAGAAAGGATATTTTAGTATTTTTATAAATTCTGCTGCCAATCTTAAGGTTTGCACTTTGTTTTCAAGTTAAGAGAGTTATTGGAAAGCAATTTAAGTTATAAGAAGATCTTTTGCACGTGTTTGTATGTGCATATGAAGATTTAACTATGTATATTTTAGAGTATTTATTCATTGTTTGTAGTGTGTCTGAGTGTGTGTTTATATGCTTGTGTCTGCATATGTATTTAACTATGTACGTGTGTTTTGTTTGTTTGTTTTTTTTTTTTTTTGGGTGGGGTGGGGGTGTTTATTCATTTATTTTTTTTATCTTAACATATTCTTGCTAGTGCATTTTAATTTTTTGTTAGTTTTCATTTTTATGTTTACATTTTTGTATTTTTTAGTGTGTTTTTCATGTCCTTGATACCCAAATATCTCCCAGTTTTCGCATTAAAAACCAAAAAAAAAAAAATCTGATGTTTAATGTTTTTAAAAAAATATGCAAAATTTTTATTATAAATATTTTTCATTTTGGTTCATTCTAAAATAAAGGACAAAATCAATATCAAACAGACCCTAAATGATCCTACATTTATAGTGAAATATCCACTTTTTATTAATCAATTATTTTCTATGGCTTAACCACCAACTTTTTTACACTCTTTCAATGAAAAGTTTAGTTCTTTTTAAGCATGGAAATTGAAAATTGTTGGCAGATTTTGGTTTTCTAACTTTTCTTAAGTCTTATTTTCTTTTAGGCAGAGAAAGCACCAATAAAACACCAGTGACCAGCAAATAAGGTAAATCTGTTAGACTCTATAATGGAGTAAGCTTGACATATATTTGGTGTGGTCATTCATAGCTATTTTCACATCTCTCACTAACGCTTCATGGGCTCATTTTTTATCAATTTAAGTTTATAAGCTTTTAAATCAGCACTAATCAAATATGCGGAATTTTAAGCTTTGAACTCACATTTCTCTTTAGATAAAATAAAAACTTATATTCTTTTCTCAATTTTTTAGTTTATCATTCAAGACGTGAGTTTGCGAAGGTACAATAATATAGTAAAATCTCAAAAATAATGATATGGATATGGAAATGGAAAAACATGCCAAGAAATTTATATTCTCGTGAGTTATAAAAGAAAGAATTTAAAATAGGTTTGAAGTCCACATTTAGGAATTTTTTGGGTTTTAGGTTCAGCCTAAATATTTCTAAGGCCAAAAGTACATAAAATTAGTTTGGAGCTTGTGTGTTAGGAAAGAGCCTGTGTGCCTGGTCATTTTCGTTTTTTACAAAAATATCCTTAATTAAAGTAGGAACAATTACGCATACTCTTTCCTCCCTTCCTCAATTTTCTCTCCCCTATATGTTGTCTCATTCTTTTTTTTTTCCCTCATCCATCCCATTCTCCCTTTACTGTTTTCCTCAATATTCTCTTTGTGCCCCTCTCATCCGTCCTTTTCTCTCCCTTCTTCCTTAATTTTGTCGCTCCTATTTATTTGTCTCATTCTCTCTTTCCTCTCTCACCGTTCCCTCTCCCTTTCCTCTCTTCCTCAATTTTCTTTTCCTATTTATTTATCTCATCTCTCTTTCTCCCTCCCTTGTCATCCGTTCTTTTCTCTCCTTTCTTCCGCAAAGTTCTCTCTCCATTTATTTGCCTCATTTCTCTTTCTCCTTTCTCACTCGTCTCTTTCTCTCTCTCCTTTATTCCTCAAATTTCTCTCTCCTATGTATTTGTCTCCTATATTCCTTAAAACAATGAATTCAAAATAGTGAACATAAAAATAATGATTGGACAAATGAGACTTGGTCTTAACTTAAAAAAAAATTAATTTGATTAAGAGATTTAGTTGGAAAGAAAAATAAATTCTACTTAACTAATAAGATTGTTTAGATTTTAATAACATAGTTAAGACGTTTCATTTAAATTGAAAAAATATATATCAAAAATATTGAAAAAACATAAATAGTGAACTCTAAAAAAAATGAAGTTTAATAGAATAGAGTGTTTGGCATGACTTATATAAAAGTATTTTTATGACTTTTACTTATCATAAGCACTTTAAAAAAAAAAGAAAAAAAAAAGAAGAAGTGGTGTTTGGATTTACTTATTTGAAACACTTTAAATAAGTTAAAAGTAATTTTATCACTTAATTAAGTTAATAAGTAAAAGTTTTAAAAAAAGACTTTTACTTCCACAAAAACACTTGCACCCTAATTACTTTTTACTTCAATTTGTCGCGCCCGTTCATCTCTGTCGAAGAAGTCTCCCATCGGTGTTCTTCCATCTCTCTAACTATCATCAAGGTAGGGGGACTTCTGTGCTTTGGCGCTCGACAACCACTCCTTATAGTCGCTGGCATTGACCTCAACTGTGTTAATATCGCTGGTTACCTCCCGGAAGAACTTTGGGTTACTGACAAATTTTGCCTTGTTTCATATCAATCAAACAGGTTTTGTGGCACTGTGCTGAGAAAGTACAAGAACCTCATGCGATTGTTCGAGCTTGATCTCAATATTGTTCTTGAAATACTCTAAAATTCTTAGATCTAAGGTTTAATGAGTTTGAAGGAGATGTCCCCAATAAGATTATTATTATTACGTTCGATTCACCAGATAATTTTAGTAATACGTCGTATTTATAATTTTTTGGGGTCTCATGACTATGTTTCGAGGAGCCTAAGTAATATGTCTGAAACGTTGAACGAAATCAAAATGCACATTTTTGTAAACTACTTTGATTTTAGACAATCAAATAGTATTTATTTAATGGAAGTGTTTCACTTATAAAATAATTTTAATAAATACTTATTAAAAAAGTTAGTTTTGAATTTAATAAGTCATTGTAAACCTTACCTGAAACTCGTAGTTCACAAATAATGAACTTTAATAGAATAAAACTCCTAATTCATTATATAAAATTTTCATAAACAGTGACATTTTAATCGAATAAAATTTTTTGTTTATTGTCAAAAAAATTTCATAAACAGTAAATTATAATTAACAACAAAATAGAAATTACATCTTTGGCGCTTACATTTCACTACCTGGAATCAAGGAACCAGAGAGAGAAGAAGATTTACATTTCACTACCTGGCAATTTAGGTCAATGAACGATTCGATAATAGTGAATATATAGAGAGAGAAGAAGAGAAATTTATAAACCCTTACGAAGCGGAAGAGTGATGGTAAAATGAGAGATGGGAGCCTAGAGTGATTAGGCGAACAACCCAAGTGAACCTCGCTCATCACTTGATCCTCATCCAACTCACCACCGTCCAACAGCATCATGATATCCGGTGACGACGGAAGTGCTGGTGGAGGTGACAATGGCCTACCGTATCTATCTTCCATCGAAGCGAATAAGGCTAGCCAATTAGACGGTACTTTTATCATTAAATATTTTTTAAAAAATAGTTTTAACTTAATGACTGATTTGTTTGAGTGCCTATCCTGCACACCTTAAAAAAATTATGCCTAGACTTATTAACAAAAAAAGTCACATAATTAGATGTTTCAACAAGTTTCACTAAATTCAAAAAGAAACGAGTCAAGAAAGAAGAAATTTGGTGAATAAGGAAAAGAACCAAATAACCAGCAAAAGGCCAAAGGAAAGAACCGAGTTGGCCCTGACCCAGGGGATGTCTAATAGCCCAGTCTGAATTGCATGTGCTCGGCCTTCTTGGGCCAGTTCTCAATCTTTGCAATTGTTGGGCATTGTCACTTTTCCTCGTCCAAAAACTAGATAAGTAAGAAATTTGTTGGGTACATGTGCACTTTTCCATGCCGAAAAACTTTAAAACTTGTGAATTTTAGGGTAAAATCCCAATGAGATCTCCTGTGTATTAGTTCAATTATAGAGACACCCCCTTAGTTATCTGAAATTACAAGAATGTAACATCCAGCAGTTATTATTTTCCTTTTGAAATCACAAGAATGTCAGTTAGCCACTCTGTTTTTTTTTTTTTTTTTGACAAATACTTGATGTTAGCCCTTTGTCCTATCATTGAAGTTAAACTCTAAAAAGCTATTGTGCTCACACAAATTCCATATATCCACATTTGGAGTTCAACTGTACAGATGCCCATTAGTGAAGATTCTACAAACCCACCATTGAAGCTTTCATTAAAGCTTCTACACTGAACACATTCAAACCCAGTATACAAGTTTTGTCATTTACTATGGTTCATTTGCTATTCTTTAGATCTCCGATGAAATGTTGTTTGTACAAATTAGAGTTTGATTTGTTAGATATGGCTTTTGATTTTGCAAACTAATCATGGGATTCAATATGGCCCATGAAATTACCAGTTTCTACCTCTCTGGAATAATCCATTGAAAAGTTACATCCTTGCCACACCTGGAACTTGATGATATCATTCTTAGTCGGTCAATTATAGTTTATTGTAGCTCAACCTCGAACAGCATAACCCCCTACCAGCATCGAAGGTAGGCACCATTAGGCGTGAAAGGCCTCCGAGCTAACCTCTCAATTGTTGAATGAAACCTTTCATTTCTTTATGTAAATGAAAACACTGTAACTAATCTTTTTCTCCAAATAATACAAAAAACCCCTCTAAAGAACAAGAAATTCTATTAAAGTAGTTAACCAAACTTTACAACCGGTGAACCACTACCATTAGTGTATTCATTGCTTATTTGTTTTATTCTCTTGTACTCACAATCTCGCACACAAGCCTTAAGCATTTCAACTAAAGCATCACACCCTTTTTTGGCGCCATATGTGTGGGAACAATTTGTTCGTTTCCATTAAAACAATATATTTTGTTAGTTGATGGTTAGAACTCGAAGCATGAGTCAGGTTCTAGAAAACAATCAGAGGCTACCTCCTCCACTGTCATTGAACCCTCAAGCAGAAAACCCAGCACCTGTGAACGATCCGAAAACCTATCAGGGAACTCCCCTACACCTTCTTAGGCAGAAGAAAGAGTTAGTCGCCCTCATACAAGCACAAAATCCCCAGCCCCATTCAACAAAACCCGTATCTCCAAAACTCACAAAATCCTCTGAATCAGTTGAACCCCCCAGAATATCCATAATCCTTTAGATCCACCATAAAAATCAAAAAATGGAATGGTTGACAAGCATCATAACCAATCAGGAGAGAACCTCTGGCGTCAATATCAGAGGGGATAAACAGAGGATGATGCGCACAACAGGACAACTTGGGAAAGAAGAGGGAATCAACAACTTCCCCTTCTATAGAATAATTTAGATCAATTTTGGGAGGAACTCTTCAGAGAGATCTAACAAGAGTTATGAAGCGTGAAAAAAAGTGGTGAGGAACAAAACTCTAGTCTCCGTGGAGGCCCTAATCCAGCGGACAAGGTCTCCCTCCGCAATAGAGGTGCTTCATTTTTCACTCCCAACAAAGTTCAAGATGCCCCAAGTTGAGACATTTGACAAGACTAAGGACCCGTAGACCACCTAAACTCATACAAAAACCAAATGAAATTACGTGGGTATTAGGATCCTGTTCGGTGTCATGCGCTTGCCATAACCTTGAAAAGCTCAACTTTGGCCTTGTTCAACAGGTTACCCCCGAGCTCAATCTCAGTGCTGTTCGTCTCTCACTTTATTGGGGCAAGAACCTATTTGAAGCCTTCGTGTCATTTATTGTCAATGAAGCATAGGTCAACAGAATCCCTTGGGAGTTATTTAAGAGGTTCAATTAGAAATCGCTCAAAGTAGACGGGTTGGATGAGAATGCAGCCTTAATAGCCTTCACTATCGAGCTAGGTTTGCAATCTAAAGACCTATTGTTTTTTATCTCAAAGAACCCTCAAACAACTATGGTTGAGGTTCTCTTACGAAGGCCGAAAAGTATATTAACGATGAGGAGGCCCTCATATCAAAAAGTGGCCCATCAAGTGCTCCCTAACAGTGCTCAGACAAAAAGAAGAAGCAGTTCAACCTAAGGAAAAGCCATGAGAGGAGTAGAGAGTGGGACCACTCACCTAGAAGAGGAAGAGATTGATCACCTAAGAAAAGAGGCGATGTGAGGGACCGTCTAGGACCTCCTCAGCTGAATTTGCAACCCAGGTACACAGCTGAGTAGTTTACACCACTCAACACTTCGGTGGCTGCTTGATACAAAAAGGCCCACCCAAGTACAGGTGGTTAAGTGTAGTAATAAACATGGTAGTTCGAGGCCGATCCTCACGGAAATTGATTTGAAATTTGGAAGGTAAAAAAGAAAGAGCAATGAAAAGGAATCGAGATTAAGTGATTCAAACATATTTAAAAGAATTTGCTATGAAAGAAAACTATTCTCTAGCTTCCGGATTAGGTATCATTCTTGTAAATCTAATATTATATGTATACAATTATATGTTGATTATCTCAGTCGACTTCCAGTGTCAGTGTAATCAATCAACAAAATATAGCTTAGAAACTCAATCCTTGATTGAAAAGAAAATAAGAATTTAGTATTTTAGACTCGCATGGAATTATAAGTATTAATTATACTAAGAACTCAATCCTATTAATAATTAATCAAATAAGTTTACAGAGTACATTACTTTGATAAAAATCATTCATTCACTCGAGAAATATTCGGAAAGATAAATTGTTGAGTGCTCAATATTGCATTATTTTATAGTGTAACACATTCGCCTTGGGCTTGCTAGCAAACTAATTTGCTTTACTTTGTGTGAATTGCACGTTATGCTTTGATTTATGTGTTTGCATGTAATTTGGGTGTAAAAGTGGAGGTTAAGCATTAATAGGATGGTAAGCAACAAGTTGGGATTGAGTTTGCTAGAGATAAGATGAAGTCAGAAGCCTTAGAAGTATTTTTGAAGAAGAGAGAAGTTCTACTAGTAAGTGTTGTACTAGTAGGAAGGCAGAAAGATGAAAGTTCTATCGATAGTAAGTTAGTTCTACCAGTAACTTGAGCTACAGAAGAATACCTTTTTCATCAAAAAAGTTCTACTAGTAGTTAGTACATGTTTTACCGGTAAAAAAACTTACAGTACTTTGTCACAGGAAGTCCTATCGGTAGTTAAAGGATGTGCTATTAGTAGGAAAGTCATAGAATAAAGTTCTACCAGTAGGTTTCACTATTTTACTGGTAGGTTGAGCTACATAAGGAGTTGCTACTAGCAGGTAAAGGTAGATTTTCATGAAAAACTCAATTAAATATCAGATTTTGTCATATCTTTTGAGGATTCTCAACCAATCAAAGAAGGATATAATTTTGGAATGGATATATGTAAAAGATCTGAATATTCTCCTTCCAACCAGAATAAATAGAAGACCCTTTGGGAATACAAACATTTTTGGAGTCTTCTTTAGTTTTCTTGTTTTTATGTTTAGAGAGTGTTAGGGTTATTTTCAAAGTTTTGCTACTATTTTTTATTTTAAAGTTCTATTCTTTCATTTGTTCTACCAATCTTACATTCAGTTGTCTTCAGTATTCAAAGCTTTGTTATTTTAATTCAATTTTTCAATACAAGCTATTACTTTTAAGTCAATCTTTAATTTCATGAATTCAATTATGTTCTCTTAATTTCTTGTGGTATTTACATTATCATAAATGAGTAGTCTTTCTCTAGATAATCTCAAGAAGGATTCCTAACCAATTAATTAGGGTTATACTCTAAACTAGGATTTTAATGTCTATGTGATTGCTTGATTAAGTTGTGTTTTTGAAAACCTATTTGATTTGCATACTTCCCGATTACCCATATACATTTGATTTTGATATAGGCAATTGGTGGTATTTTCTACAAATTGTAGGGTATTGATTCTTTCATAATAAACTCTCTCAATAACTACTTTTGATTCTCTTCCAAGTGTTGAGTTGAAAATCATCTTTCTATGCTAGTTTGAATATGAAAGCAGATGAGTTATAGATTTAGAGTAGAAATTCTCATTCACATGTGGGATGAATTCTGAAGATTATCTAGTTTTCCAATTATTGAATTTCATTTTCATTAGTAGTTAATCTCCAACTCTGAACTTTCAAAGAAAATTTTCTTTTACTTTTCATCACCTTGGATTCCAATTCTTTTTCCGAGGAGACGACCTTGGACTTCGATTCAAGTTACTACACGATACTATTTTATTCAATGGCTACAGAACCAAAAAAGGCTTTTGACTACTTTGATTTATTAGCTGAGAGTGCCCAAGCTTGGGCTTGGGACACCTAATCCTCCAATTCGAAGGAGTCAACTCGGAGAAAGTGTTTGATATAACCCTTACCATGGAAACCCCACACCTCAAACTGTGGTGAAATTCAGGAAGATGAGATCGAAAATCTGTAATCGCCCTATGATCTCAAAGGCTTCAAAACCTCACTAAAGATAACCTAAACAGCAAGGGGAGGTTGA